TATTCAAGAAATCTAATCTAACCTAATCCAACTCCATCTATTCTTCATACATTAATATTGCAGACGTAGGTAAAGTTCTTGGACTATCTATCTCATTATATAGATATCATATTAGGATATAATATAATAGCAAAACAACATTATTTTGTCAAGCAATCGAGATAGATTATTGGTTAATGAATAATATAATACGATTTATATCAAGTTTATATATATATTCATAAGTTAATGTGACATGAATAGAAAATCAAATAATTTTGATACCAATTGACGTAATGGAAATATAAGATATGAAGAATATAATTTCTGGATTCTTCTCTCAATGCGAAGGACAAATTATTTGAAAATTAATATTGCAGAAGTAAGTTCTTGGACTTTAATAACAAAACGACATTATTTTGTCAAGATAAACAAAATGAAGAATATATATATATGTATGATATTTGTACTATCTTAAACGGGCATTGGAAATTTATATATTAATGGTTGATGTTTGATTTTGATATCAACGATTCGCATGTGTAAAGTGTTAAGAGAATTTTAAAAATTACAAATGATGAATTTATGATATTTAAATATAATGCTGAGATTATATATGTTTGCAGAAACATAAATAATAGATAGGCAAGTGAGATTTTTATAGTAGTTCATATGCTTAAAGCGAATCTTGTATCCACTGTAATTTTATTATTTTAAGACTATTTCCATGATATTGCCTGTAAAGCATACAAAAATGAAAAAATACTTTATTTACAGAGAAAAATAAGCTCTCATGTGTCTAACTCTCATATGTCTAGTCTTCTCTTTTATGAAGAGAGGTGTCAATTTATTCACCTTTGAGGTCAATGTAATAAGTATTTTTGCAAGTTGTCTTGACACATGAGGAGCTCTTATTCGTCCTCATCTTAAAATGAGATAAGGTTAGTATAAAATATCTTTGAGTCGGTATGGACTTGACAGTTAGTACGTACACTTTGTCTTTTAGACACTTATTGAGCTAACATCAGTTTGATTTTTTAGGCATAATATTAATATTCTTTGTATCAACTCATTTTATTTCATGATATTATTTTAGATGAAATACATAGATATAACTTTTGTGTAGCTGAAAATGAAATACTCCTCATTTGAGCAATACCCCACCAATAAACTAGCTGCAAAATGAATGAGAGTAACATTTAGATATCTTATATGAGAGATACACCGATGAATAGGATTATTTCATGGTATAGATAAACATATGTAACATCAATAACTCGCTAAAAAGTAAATGTTATATTCATGTTATAGACAAGATATGCCTGTCGTACTCAAAACTTTTTGAGTGAAAATTTGCTTCATGTCGAAACATTTGCCAACTAGCTACCATTAGGTATGAATCCACTATGGAATATAATTGAGAATGAAAATGTACTCGGAAAATTTTCATTTATAATATCAAAATGTTGATTACATTAAGAATTTTAAAATCATGTATGAAAATTTACCAAATGGATTAGAATTAAAGAGGAGTTTTCCATACTGAAATCAGAAAATATTTTCCAAGAAACAGAAAAGCTTGTACGTGTAATTAAACAATTACTGAATAAAACAAATGTCTTATACATGGAAGCTGTGTTAGCGGTGATTGAATTGACTGAAAATTGGGCCTGTACTTTCTACGGTGAATGTTTGGTTTTCTTTGAGGACAAAAAATGCAGAAAGACAAAATTTGAATCCTTAAGAAATGGCATGCAGTCATAAAAGAAAGACGTAGCTTAAAGACTCTCAATCAAGCCATATCTTTAATTTGTTGCCCTATTATCAAACGCCTCTAATGTTTTTTATTATATAAAAATTGAAGTCACAAAATTAAACAAACTTTAAAATTAATTAATGAGCTAGCTAACCCGGCCTCAGTTCGAAACTGACCATATTTATGGTTCAACTCACTGGGTTGGAATATCTTTTTTTATTTTTTTATTTTTTTAGATCGGAAGTGTCAAAATAAGTTTACACGTACCTCAACTAATCTTTAGAGACCCTGAAACTATCGACCAGATAAAAGCTCCAATGATTACCTTTATTAATAATCAAGGAGGGACTCGAACCAGAAACTCTTGAGTAATACACCCAAAATTTTTTATCAAGCCACTTAACCACCCAAGAGTTGGTTAGTGGGTTGAAATTTTGATCTATCTTCCATTGACAAAAAGCTATGAAAATAAAAACACTTTTCAAGAAATTCAAATTCTATATATTGAATGATGTATTAAGGCAAGAAATACATAAATGCTGACGAATTCAATGACGCCCCAATATAAAACTAAATAATAGGGTTAGTAAGATTTCTCCTAGTTTATTCATGAAAGCGAAATAATTCTTTGTTAACACTTAATGAGAGTATAATATTTTTTGATATATTAATTTGACTTCCTTTCATGGTTTTCAACAATGGTTTCAGACTTTCAGGATTTGCTGAGCAAAGTAGTGAGACCCATTTCGGTTTTGATCAAGTGAGATGACGTACCAAATCAAACAAACTAATTTATCTTTGTTTTACATTTAGTAATTGTCTATTTCAATTGTTGTTACGAAAATTCGCAATAACCGATAAGACTCAATCAACCTTAACGGGATCGAATCAGGTGGATGTATGGTTGTTATCAATCAACAAAGTAAGATGAACATGTAAAAAATAAGAGATAAACATATCAAAATTAAGAAGAAACAAAGAAGGATTTTTAAAGAGGTTTGGCGGATTAACTCCCAAGTCTACGTCCTCTGTTATTTTATTGCTCGATTTTAGCTTTACATTCAAAACAATTATAGCAAGAAATAGTAACAAATGGGTGCACAGCAAGGTAAACCCTCGAGTTGTTCTCCTTCTTTTTCTCTCTTGACTCACTATTTTCTTTTGTGAGTGTGTGGTTGAATGAATTTCTCTCTCTCCATTCCTGTTTAAAATGGAAGTAGCTTCCCTTTTTATACTCCCGTTTGACAATGGTTGAGAGTTGATGATTACCCGGGGGGGAGGGAGGAATTTCCATGCATAATCTATCCTAATATGGATCTACGTCAACCTTTATCCATACTTAAGCTAGAGTAGTTATGCTTGAAACTGATGAGCTTATTGGTTAAGTCATTTATTGTGGGAGTGACACGTGAGACGATCTTGGTCACTTAATTTTTGATATGGCTTACAGACAGGTGGTGCAAACCAAGCCATAGGAGAATCATGCACAACAACAGTATACAAATATTGAGGATAATATGAGAAAATTGTTAAAAATCAAAGTAAGGTGATGTTATTTTCAGCTCTTAGAAATTATTTTCTGGCACATTTCATGCATGCTCGAACTGAAGGTAGAATAGTCTGTCTAGTTAATGGGCCTGAAAAACAGAGACCCTTCCCATTAGGGGATTGGCCTTTGAGCCCAAGAAATAGTATTCTTTGGAAAATGGAATAAATGGCCTAAACTCTGCAGCAATCGAAGAAAACCTTTTTTTTGTTTTTTTTTTTTTTTTTTTGGCCTCATTTTTAACGAGTTGATGAGAGATGATTTTTTTTCTTCAATATTTTGGAATTTGGATCATAATCCGGAGGAAGAATGAAAATTGTGGATTATTATAAAATAAAAATAAAAAAAATTATGCAAAGATATTATATAAAGTTTATAAATAAAAAGTCTATAATTTTCCATTAATTCACCACATCATAACTCATTGATGTCTAATAGTGAGAGAATTTATATTATTTCAGAAACCTTAGGAGGATTTTTTTTTTTTAATTAAATTAAACTTCAAAGTCGAGAAAACAATAAATATTATCCAAAAGTAATAAAGTTATAAAATTATTTTGAATAATACTACTAATTCTAAACAGGTATACCAAATTTTACATTCTAAACGATGTCTCACTATATGATAAGTGATATAATAATGCTATGCTTACTCATGAGTTTATTAACCGTCTTATTACCTTTGTTAAAATTACATATAGTACCTGTACTATGCGTATGGTACCCGTACTATGCGTTATATTTACAAAGGATAGTAAGATGGTTAGTAAGATCGTGAATAAGCATAACATTACTCTAAGTGATATGTTACTATATGGATATTATCATATAATTCAATACATTATGACTTAATTTACATATTACAAGTCATTTAACATATGAAATTTGGGACAAGTTTGGGGAAGAGTGGAGTTATTGATAATTAACCAACCCTTTGTCATGTGGCTCAATAAAGACTCTTGGGTGTATTACTCAAAAGATTTTGATTTGAATCTCTCTTTGTCTTTGATAATTAACAGGGGTGATTATTGCAACTCTTACCCAACTAATAGTTTTAAGGTCCCAAAAGATTAGTTGAGATATGTATAAACCGATCAAACACCTCAATCATTAAAAAAAAAATTTATTGATAATTTTTTTTAAAAAGAAATCTAGTATTCACTATAAAAGCATGGAGAAATGTTACTTTTACAAAGAAGAATATAAAGATAAACATACAAAGATAAATCATACTCTTAAAAGAAGTGAAAAAGAGAGAGAAAAAAAGACAACCACGAATATTAAGGATAAGATTTGTTCGTATGCTTTTCTTTGTATTCTTCATTGTAACCTATCATTTCTCATAAGCATATCCCTGCTTCTATGTTGTTACCTTTCACAAGTTCCGTATCTTTCAATTTTTCATTTTATTATTTGTTTTTTCACTTTAAATATTTTCCTAATAATAGCTTTTCATTGCATTTCTAAATCATACACAAAAAACTAAAAAAAAAAAAAAAAAAAAAATCCACTAACCCTAGAACTAGGGTTTCCTTCTAAATCACTAAAAAAACAAAAAAAGAAAACCAACTTTTTATCAGTATAGGTTTTATATTGTGTAAATTACTCTTGAATTGAAGCTGAACCCAGTTTTGGTGGTACAATAAAAAGATTGTTTAATTGTTTTGTATCAATATTGATATAATTGTTTTGTACGTTTCATAACTTTCTGTGGGAAAAATGGACAAGAAAAAACTGGCAGTCCCATTAGTTTGTCATGGCCATTCAGTCCGGTGGTTGATTATTTTACAGTCGATCACTCCAGATGGGTTTTTTCTCATCAGTGCTAGCAAGGTACGATGTCGTTTGATGGTGTTGACTTTGAATAAAACTTTAAGCTATTTTTTTGTTTTGATGTCTTGAATGGTGGAATTGGAGATTGTTTGAACTGACATTTTTGTGATCATGACTTTGTTTCTATATTTTATTTCATAGTTCTGGGTTGGGTTTGCTTTGAATTGTTGTTATAGTCTCTTTTAGGTAATTTTTTTTTTTTTTAATGTTGATTTTGGTATTGTTTGAATTGTCATTTGAGTCCCGATTGTTCTGAGTTGGGTTTGCATTGAATTTTTGTTTTGTTTTGTTTTTACTCTTTTGTTTTATTAGAAATTTATATGTGGTGGTTCAGGATTATGCGTTACTTAAAGTGAATTTGTTATGAGAAATGAAGCTACAGAGTGTTATGAATGGTTTTGCAGTTTGTAAGATTGTTTGGTGACTAGTTTTTGACTTATAATGATGTTCTTTGAAATGAGTTCTAGTCCAATGTTGAGAAATGGGGAGACTGGGGATTGGATTGGTACATTTGAAGGACATAAAAGGCAGTATGGAGTTGTTGCCTGGATACTAATGCATTGTATGCGGCATCTGGTTCTGCAGATTTTAGTGCGTAAGTGTTGAGCTCGTTCTTGTAGGATATTGTTTACTTCAAAAAGTTCATTGTTGTTGTTGTATTTGTTTGCCCTTGTAAAAATGGTTATTTAGGCTGTATAATATGTAATCAATGATGTGAGATAGCGTTTGGATATCATATTGTACAATAATTTGATGCTATGAAACAGCTCATGTTAAAGGTTTACATTACTTGTATCACTCTTTTCAATATCTGATGTAAAGTAATGATAATTGGATGCTCAATTAAAGAGCAACTGGTCATACCCAAAAAAAAAAAAAAAAAAAAAAAAAAAAAAAAAAAATTTGCCAATAGAGAACCACTGGAATTGGTACTTGAACTGAAAATAATTTGACCCAACCTGTGGTGTATATGGACTTAAAATTCAATTCAAAGTGTGTTTATTAGACTTCCTCACTTTAAGCCAATTGTGAGTTAATTATAATAAAAAGGTTTAGTCTGAGCTGATTGGAAAGATTCAAATTTAAACAAATCATCATATGCTAATATTATTGCCATAGATTATGGTTCTCATCTTTTGTAGGAAACTGTGGGATGCATTGACTGGGGACGAAAAGCACTCGTTTGAACACAAGATATTGTTCGGAGCATGTGCTTTTTCTGAGGTGGATTTATATTTTTTCCTCAAGTCTAAGGATTCTGTTTTTGATTGTATCTCCTTTGTATTTGCATGCTCTAGACTTTGTAGCTAATTTTTATTGCAAATTGATTTTCTTAGTGTAATAAGACTAACCATTGTACATTTTGTTCTCCGCAAAGGCATATCATACTCAATATCTGAGATCTGGCCATCTTATTGTACAAAGTCTTCTTCTAGATTGTATCATAGTTTTCACTTTTTGGGTATACTAGGCCATCTAATATATGGGATATTTTGTCAAAAGAGAATTTCTGGTTCTAGACTTTTGCATCATGAATTCTTGAAATAGTTTGAAGCATTATATCTTGCCTGGTACTCGCAATAAGTCAATTCTTTGCACAGGACACACACTTTCTACTCACTGGTGGATTTGAGAAAATTCTTCGTATATTTGATTTGAACCGTCCAGATGCACCTCCAAGAGAAGTTGACAATTCTCCTGGTTCATTAGAACTGTCGCATGGCTTCACAGTGACCAGACAATCTTAAGTTCCTGTACTGATATTGGTGGTGTGAGGTATGGAAGAGTATTAGTTGACCCATTATCATTTTTTTGGTTTCTGTGGTTTCTTTTTTGTTTGGGTAAATTGGATTTAAATGATAATGTACTGGTTTTATCTGATATGCTTGTAATAAAAATTTTAGATGGATGCTGGTATTGAACCCCTTGAGATATGAAGTGAGATTATATGAGATGCTGGAATATGTGCTAGTCTTATGTAAAACTAATGAGCACCTTCTTATATAGAAAATTTTCAGAATTGTTACCTCGTGAAACACTATCCACAGCATAAATTCTGTTAATATTGGCAGAATCTAACAAAATGAAAGTAATAAAGGTTAAGAACCAGAATCTGACCTTCAGTTATATGTTATAAATTTTTGTGACAGGGTTGGTAATTATGCGAAGTTCTCAATGCATTTAGGTATTCTCTCTAGGATATTTATGAAGTACGCAATGTCAATTTAAGTTATCACTCCAAAACAGGCCTCTAAATTTCTGATAGGTTGAGAAACCTGAGCCAGAAATATTTTCTGATAGGATTTATCATGAGAGCAACTAAATGAATATGCATATCTCTCATGCTGATTGCTAGATGTTGGACTTTGGCAGGCACTTAAGTAACCTTTTGTCAAGGTGTGTCATTGGATTGTCAATAATTTAGCAACCTGTGGTACACGTGAGATTTATGTGAATAGTTTGGTGTTTTTGTTATTCAAATTGTAATCTCTTGGACCTATGGAGGTGGATTTTAACCTATTTTCATTATCATCATTTTTTTTTGGGGGGTAACTTTTCATTATTTTTTTTAAAAGTACTCGGTTTTCTCGATTTTGTTATGCATTTTGGCATATACAATTGCCTGAATCTTTTGTACAGTTTTCTTTTGGTGCAGCAATGTTTTCATTGACTCATTACTTTTTGGTCGCTTGTAGGCTATGTGACGTAGAAGTGGCAAAATTGGTCAAACCCTTGAGACCAAGTCGCTGTTACTAGTGCTGAAGGAGTCGGGATGGTCGCTATATAACTACTGCCGATGGTTTTACTGTTAAGTTCTGGGACGCAAATCGTAAGTTGTAAATCAAATAGTTTTGGTGCTCATGCTAATTTTTCAGGCATGGTGATTAGTTCTTGCCTTTTTATTCTTCAGTTTTGGATTGGTGAAGAGCTACAATATGCCCTGCAATGTAGAATCAGCTTCATTGGAACCAAACTTGGCAATAAGTTCATTGCCGGAGGAGAAGCATGGGGGTCCATTTATTTGATTTCCATACGGAGAAGAGATTGGTAAGTTCTTCTGAAGTGGGTGATATTAGATAAAATTCTGGTGCCTAAAGTGGATCATTTTTTACTGTTAGATGTCTTAAACGGCTCTTTATTGTGCGTGGTGTGTTAATCACATGGATGATGGTATCTAGGTGCTCCTTTTAGTGTGGTATTTGAATTCTGCATCAAGGCGCCGCATTTTAGTGCCCTTTCATTTCCATAGTATCACTGTTCTTTATCTATTGCCAACTGAGGATAGGCATATTTACCATTTCCCGTCTTCAAGTGGACATAGTTTTAGAAGGAAGGAATATGACTCTAGTAACACAAATAATAACATAGTTATAATAAATGAATAAGAAATGAAAAGGCTTTCATCTAGAGTGCTTTTTTGTAAAGAGGCATACAGTGCGCCTATACTATAAATTTTGGGGTTATAACTTCTATATGCTTCTTTATTGTGTCTGTAGGATGCACAAAGGTCACCATGGTCCAGTCCATGTGTAAGGTTTTCTCCTGGAGGAGAATCATATGCTTCAGGATCTGAAGATGGCACGATTAGAATATGGCAAACAGGTCCTGCAAACATGAAGAGAATGACTTACATCCTGCAAACGGACCTACCGGAAAAGTAAAGGTTTCGGCCATGAGGTAACTCGGAAGATCGAGGGCTTTCATATCGGCAAAGAAGGGAAAGCCGGAGAGAAAGATAAGCCGCAGATGTGGAACCTGACCAATGAGAGTTAATTTGGATTGTTTGCTATGTGTGCACTATGCTGTTGATTAACTAGTTGTGGGCAAGAGAGAGTCTGTTTCCTTTGGTGGGATTGTCCTGTGGAAATATAATAGACTGCTCTTGTTTCAGTTCTGGTTGCTGTTAAACCAAATGTTTTTCAGCCAGACTTCTGATGCTATGTTCTTTTAGACGACGTTTTTCACTATTGAAATTAACTCTGTTTTTAAGTATCAATTTTATAACTTGGGTTATATTTATATTTGCAATCAGGAAATCATTAAAGTCGAAAATCACGTTTTATCACTGGGACCCAATGGATGAAACACTTTCTAAATAATAAATAAAAAGAAAAAGGCATAAAGTGATGACCAAAATTCAATATGCTTTCTTTATGACTATCACAACACATGATCACACTATTTTAAGAGTTAACGGTTATTTAATCCAAATAACAATTTAAGATATTTTTACATAAATTTTTAAATCATTTTATTATTTAAACTTATATTCCGACAATGAACAAAGAGCAAGCTCGGTTGGTTGTTAGGACTTTTGAAGAGGGAGGTCGACGAGTCTTTTAAAGGTAGAATGTCGGATTTTGGTGGTTGAGATTGATTAGAATTTGACTTGGGGGGAGGGGCACTATACAACCTTAGTCGCTCTATTGTCGGCAATTAGTGAGGTCAGCGGGATTACGGTTTGAAGGGTTTTCGTGAGTGATGATTGAGAAAAAGAATAGTGTAATAGTGGTGGTGTGGGGTCGCAACGATGAAGAATTGGAAAAGAATATAAATTTGGATAGTAAAATAGTATTTTAAAAATACGTAGGTGGAAAGTGTCATCAAACATTATTGAATAGGAAAAAGTCATTTACTCTTATTTTAATATAACAACTTCTATTATACTTATAAATGTTTTGGTCAGGAAAAATAACATTTCATGACATTATCGTCCTATAAGCTTACCATATTTTATTTTTTATAAATAACTTTATGAAATTCAAAATTAGAATTTTAAAATTTCAGGTATGTTTTATTATTGTTAATTCATTAAAGTTGAAATAATAAAATAAGGCTGTGCTTTGAAGTCATCTAAAATACTCATGGGCCAAGGTGAAAATGGGCCTGGCCCAGACCAAAATGCATTCAATCATAGACCAATAAGGGTCGGGTCACATCCGATCACATTATCCAAACAAATCCATATATCCACGTGCTGGAAATTTCGTAAAATGCAAGGGTAATTCCGTCAAAAGAGGAGATATAAATTCCTTAACAAGGTATCCAGACTTCTTCTCACCCTGTCTCTCTTGTCTCTGTCTCCCACTCGAGCTTCAGCTTCTTCTCTCTTCGTTCCTCCTCTGCTTCTTAGTAAAAATTAAATTAATAAATTAAATAAATAATATAAAACCCTGAAATTTTGGCGGGACAATGTCAGGCAAAGGAGCTAAGGGTTTGATTACGGCAAAACCACCGTTAACAAAGTAAGGATAAGAAGAAGCCTATCTCTCGCTCTTCTCGCGCCGGTCTCCAGGTTTCTCTTTGTTCTTTTCACTAGATTATTGGTTTTACTGTTTCTTATCAGTTTTTTTTTTTTTTAGTTGATTTAGATCATTTGAAGATTCAAAGATGATATTTTGTTATGGATATTTTGAAATACTGAAATATGTTTGGTGAGTGTAAGTCTGTATGTTTTCATTCGTGGACGTTTGGATCAATATATTGCATATTTTTTTGTGTGGTTTTGATACGGTTTAGTTTAGTTGGTCAAAGGGCTAAGTTAAGTCAAAGCTTTGCTGAGTTTGTTATTGACGTGGATTTTGTTTTTACTGT